AGCCATCACACCGCGTCAAGGTGCAGTCTCGTCGTGATGGTTTTACTTACCCATTAAGCCCTACAGCGCATTTCAGACCACAAACTTACCCATTCATGAAGCGAACGCTCGTCTAGACAGCTCAATCCCGATACCAATTATACCGAGAGTACTAGATTCCAAATCAACTGACATGCTAGAGTAAAGATAAGATTGAATCTCAAGGACGTGAGGTGATAATTGATGTGGAATTTTTAATGCATGTTTCGGAGATATACCACGTCTATACTGGATGTCTAGAGGGCTGTTCGCCGATGGAGTATGCGAATATTGGCATCGAATAGATGCAAAAGGCATCTCGGTTTAAAATATCTCTTGACCTCTGGATTGTCTCATTTACTAGTCGAACTCTTAGTGGTGTATCCCGAAGGGTAGGGACATGGTTTTCCACATGGGTGCCTGAGGCTTTAGGGTACCACGCGGTTCTCGGAGACCCATAGCAATGAATGCTTTTCTTCTCTGACCAAGGTATTTGACTAGAACGTCTGATCCGCAGGGCACCGATCTTACACTGGAGTATGACCAGAACACCCATTTGGGGGCTTCCACAGACCTTTCACGTGAGACTTTCAGGTTTCAGTTTAGATTTTTCGCTGGTGCATTCATTATTGGTCCGTCGTCAGGTATCGGTCCTTAGTTTTTTTGAGCTCAATGAAACAGGCGGAACTTATAGGGGGCAGGGTTGTAAAATAACATCCGATTTAGCTCGCTGGGTCACGAAGGTACGCAAACCATCACTTTTCCAGGTGCAGCTTCGGTGTTGTAGGTATTAGGTGATTGCTGACCGATGTTCCCTCACATTAAGTCAAACACAGATAAGGTATTATAAAACTAAACATTTATTCCGCGGTGCCAGATAGTCATCAACACATTGTTTCACTCTCTTTTATTGTGGCCTAAAAGCCACATTTTGACGTGCTCTCTGAGTGTTCATTTTTTCATGTTTGTGGATGGACCTCGTCTGCAGAGGTCTTTAAGCACCTTTGTATCACATTCTCGGTTGGTTTCAGGATTTTGAAATTGCTTTACTATGAGCAGTGAAGAAAACTCGGATATCGAAAATTCTGAAGAAACTCAAAACTACAATGAGCTTCTCTTGGTTTTAAGTAAAATTAAAATATATGTCGAAATGGTTGCTAAACGTCTTTCCGAGGAATGTGATGAAGGCAGGTCTCCATTGTTGTTTCCATCACCGTCTGTTTTAGGTGCCGAGGATATCCCCACACTGCTTGAGGGTACAAAGTTACGGGACTATCAGCGCAAAGGCTACAAATGGATATTAACGTTATATGAAAATGGAATGAACGGAATTTTGGCTGATGAGATGGGTCTCGGTAAAACTGTTCAGGTGGGTACTTTCCTTGAAGGTACACGTGGAAATTTGTACATTTGTTCAGTAATGTACATCGCTTATCGTCAGCAAAAGAATTCGTGAGATCGATAGTTTGTTCGGATCTAATAAGTGAACGTGTCTTGAAAGATAATCAGAGCTCTTTCTGCACGTATTGGGATTCGATTTCATGAGTGTGCCTGTCCCGTGTTCTGATTCAACTCGATCATGGTTGAAATAAAAGGCTGACACAAAATTGCAGTAATTGAGACTCCGAAAGAACTGGTTTTGATTGAGTCTTAGCTGCTCGTGTCCTCCGAGTTCAGGGTTTCAGTGATTGTCCCTTCGTAATGAAGAATATTGTTTCTAATTTCAATCACCAATAAGGACTCGCGAAGTGAATGTCAACCTCAGTGCTAAATGTATCCATTCGGTAGCACTCAATGTTCTGCCTTCCCACCCCACTTTTCTATCAAGAACGGATAGTGTTGATTCATAAGGAGCTTGGAAGCCTATGCACCGATCGCTTTAATTGCAAGTTCATCGCACATTAGTCACTAGATCATAGAAAAACGTTGTCGGGCCGAATCTAATCGTATTTCTTCATATGTTAGATAGTTTAGAGTCTTTTCATAAAGCTTCTTGACGGGATTGCTTGTCAGCGAACGAAGCACCCCAAAAGAATATCCTCATTCTCAACGCAATTTGGGGTTTGTAAACAATTTTTTATCAAGATCAAAATCTGTGGCGTAATATGTGTTAACGTTTTCAAGGTAAATAGATGTATATATTACAATGAATGGCTCGACCAAATTTCCCTGCAAACACACGAACGATTTATCGGTTCTTGCCGTTCGTTAGGCATAATTATCTGGTAATCTTTGATAAATTCATTCATATAATTGTGATCAGGAACTGTGTTTTCGACACGAATGCCTCATTTACAATACCGGTTAGATTTGTTCGCATATAGACCTTTCGGAACCATTCTGTTTATGAATCATTGCTATGATTCGATGTTTTCTAAGTGGGTTAAAAATACTAAGAACCACAACATAATTATATATCACATTACTGTTTAGCAACGGGGCGTGTTAATCTTAATTTCATTTTCTACTTTTTTTGAGGGGGTGAGGTGGAATGGGAATAATGCTTTTGTGAGGTGCACTTTACGAAAGTGTAAGATGATTATCACTGATGCTGAGCCATTTGCACAAGTATTGTTGAAATGTAGATAAAAACAATAAACCAATTAATATTCACTTACTTAGTACTCAGTGAAAGCTTTTATACTTAATCTAGTTAAAGGTTAATACGGTCAAAATATTTCTGTATGAAAAAAAGCACACCAAAGAGACCTGTTGTGCCAAGTTACACTCAGGTCAGAAGTTTACATTACATAGTCTAGTGTTTCTTGTTACAACAAACAAATTACTCAAATTACTGTTTCGATTGAATTTCGCAATTCAGGTCATAGCGGCGTTGGCTGCTCTCATTGAAGCAGGTGTCACCGGTCCGTTCCTGATTGTAGCCCCACTTTCTTTACTCTCAGTGTGGGCAGATCAATTGGCCACTTTCGCTCCTCGAATTCCATCTCTGATCTACTACGGGGCATTGAATGAACGACTCAAATTAAGAAGACGAGTTCGCAAGCGCGTACGTATTTGTATGTTAGACTCCGTACCGACCGTGAATCGTGGTGTAATAAATGGGAATACCCAGTCAGACAATGCCACTCTTGATCCAACCAGTGCATCCGATTGCAACGCGCAGATAGCGTGTGAGCAGTATTCTGCCACCGATCCGTCAAGCAGTTTTTATTCTCTAGCGAGCTACAAGTCAATTGAAACGTGTGGTATTTCAGATCGAATTGAAGAGCAAACGATCGCTGATCCAACCGAGATCTCGAAGGCTTCAACTTCAGAAATCGATTCCCCAAACTTCGTCTCTAGCATTTTATCGTGTCCAAAAAACCCATCCAACAGTTCGGATGATCTCCAGCCCCTATCTGATCCGCCACATGGTAGTTCGAACAATCTGACCAGTAGATCATTTCAATCTACAGATGAGCATAATAAGACTGCCCAGGTGGTTACTGATAACTGCGAACGGTCAGAAGCACTGACTCATTTGAATGAAGTAATTGATGACGTCTTATCTGATCCTGATCGGTGGTATGATTCCAAATTATGCAATCTTTCCAAATCAAACGACTGCACAAATGACTCTACTTCAGATCCCGGTTTAGCAGCAACAGTTATTGAAGAAGATTCCACTTCATTTGAGGAGGATGAATCAATGAATACGGAGCTTGCGACCTCCGTGCCGCACCAGACTGTCAATGCACGCGTGAAAGGCAGGTTCAAGGAGTTAAGGACATATGGGTTTTGGACATGTCCTGTGGTGCTTACTTCGTACGAAGTGGCTGCGCGAGACGCTGTCTATCTCAGAAAAATCCCATTCAAGGTAACTTGTCTGTTCAGTGTACTAGGCACACTAAAATTCATGCACACCCTTGTTAATAATTGTCTTCATTTTTTTCATTCGCAAAACTAAAACTTGTTTTCTTGGTAGCGGGATTGATGTGAATGGGAAAGCTATATAGATCTGTTTGTGCCATTTGGTTCATTTCATTCCAGAGGAACTTTTTATTCATTAACAATGGTTACAATCGGATTTTAGTGAAATAATCCGCGAAAATACTGATGCCATTGCTACTTCTTGAGTCCCGTGTATTTCGCGGAGTCAAGTCTAGAGCGCGCGCGAGAGAGAAGTGCTATTAATGGTTATGGGCTATGGAAAATTGCGATGGTGAAAGGGTTAA